GAGGGAGAGAGGAATAGTACGCGTGTTCCTGGGTGGACGTCGAGCAGTTTTGAAGCGGTCCTTCGGGATGCTGGGACAGGGCTCAGGATGCTGATACTCGGTGGGTCATTAACGAGGAGAATGTCCGCGAGCCCCCTGCCTGGCGCTGCGTTGTCCCGTACGAAATAATAATGTGTTATGAAGAGCAGACACGAGACGCTGCGAGCGGTTCGAACGGCTGGAACGGCTGGAACGGCTGGAACGGCTGGAACGGTCCGAACGGCATAATGCACGGACGCGTACTCGTTACGGGACACAATGGGGCGCATGCTGAGCTCCCAAACTACGGCAGCGCTTGAATTAAAGCCGCCATCGCGCGTTCCGTGTCCCACGCTCCTCGCGCGCGATCGAACGAGTGAGAAAACGAAGGACCGATACGTCAACAGGTATTTCCGTTGAATCCTCCTGGAGTACTCGGTGCCAGGAGTGGGCTGCTGACACCCGCGACGAGTAATGTTCGTTCGAACGCTCAGAGGTCGATTAGGAGTTGCCGATACTTTAAGAAAGAAGAAGGTCGATACGCATCAACGTCGTCCTTCTGATACGAGTTCGCTACCGGTCAGGTAGCAGCGAGGAGCAGAAGGCTGGTGACGATTGGAGAGCAGAGAAGGCAGGCAGCAGCAACAATCAATGGCGGCTGACGGACAGTCGAACGGACCAAGACGCGTCAGTGTCGCAACTGTCGCTCGGGGCGGCTAGACGGGCCGTTAGACGCGTATTAATATCGCCTAATGAATTCCCAGTAGTGCAGTCCCGATGTTCTACCGATGACACGTGACTGGTAGCGGAGAGTCGAGTTGTAGCTAGGAGAAACCGACAACAGTGGGAGAGCAATTACCGTAATGGATGGCGATCCCGTACGGGTGGCGGTGGCGGCGGCGGCTACCGCGAGAAGTCCTGCCCGCGAATAGGAGCAGTTAGGTCGGCCTACTATCCTCGTGGACGGCCACCATAGGATATTTGGATATTTCGATATTTCGATATTTCGATATTTCGAGATGGGCAAATGTTGAGCCTGCTGTTCTATAAAATACCGCAAATCTTTCCATCAAATTCTGTGTTAGAACTTTGAAACGCGGTGGTGAAGCTTCTTTCGAGAAAATATAATCTTCTGTCATCGGGGTTCATTTATCCGATACTTCAAGAAACAGAGATAAATGAGATTCTATAAATTTTATAAGATTTTACTTGTAACGTCTTTCGATAACATTTTTTCCACTTTTCTTCTTCTTTCTTGGATTTTTGACATATGTATGGGCCGTGTGTGCGTGTGTGCGTGTGTGCGTGTGTGCGTGTGTGCGTCTCGAACAATCATCTGGTTCACTGGAATAATTTCTTTACGGGACAACGGTAGCAACGTGCGCGACACGTGGGACAGAAACTGGGATGCAGGGACGCCTCTCACTCGATCTTCGCTTCGTCGGGACGCTCGACGCTGCCTTCTCGTTCGCTGCTTACCGACGATCGGCTGTGAGTTCGCGGCCGACTGCGACTGCGACTGCGACTGCGACTCCGCTCGTAGCCGGACGAGCGGCGGGCCCGATGAGATCGGTGAGGATCATGGGAGTGCTGACTGTCTTCGGCGAGATCCGGGCGACGATCTCCGAGCGGGTCGCGCGACAGGACGTCGTCCTCGAAGCGTCCTCGACCTCCAGGGGCTCTCCTGCGAGTGGCACCCCGTGCCCTCCTGCGGCCTCCTCTGCGCCGCCTCCGGCGACCCCTCCTGCTCTTCCTCCTGCGCCTCCCGCGCCTCCTTCCGCGCCGGCGCCTCCTGCCCCGCCGCTCCGTGGTCGCAGCTTCGTGCGGGCAGAGCGGCTGGTTCGGCTCCGTGTTTAGACTGTAATGCCCGTGCACGCGCTTCAGGATCCCGCAGGCCAAGCCGCGTCTCAGTGCGGTGTACATCTGCAAGTTAATCGCAGAATTATCTTAATTGATAACCCCTGACTCCTCGCAGAGGACGCAGTCTCTGCGGGAGCCTGAAGAGAGTCAAAATAAGGAGATCACCTGGCGCTGAACTGTTGGCTCCGAGGCATCGTACTCCGAGGCCAGGTAGTTCAAGATCTCCTTTGAGGTTGACCCGTGGGCGTCGCGCAGGTTCCTGATCGCCGAGACGACCAGGGCGGGCATTTTCGGCACCGGCTTCACCATTTCTCCGGTGGCTCCCTTCGAAGAGTGCTTCCGCTTGGTCGCATGGACCTCCTCAAGCGGTACGGTCAATCCGCTGCTGCACCGCTGAGGAACTCGATGGAGTTTCCAAGAAGTCGGAGGGAATTATCAATCGCATTCAAATTTTTTCGACTAACAAGTTCGAGGATCGATTATGCATCCTCAAAATATCACAAGGCAAATTTCAAAGATAATTTAAATGTCCAAAGATTAACATCGGTGTGCGCGCGCGTTGCGTCTTGTGTAGCCCGTCGACCGTCCAAAGATAACTGAGTGTGCTGTTATCGGTTCTTTTACCACGTTGCTACCCATTTCCTTTTGTTTCCACAAAGAGGATACGAGCGGGTCAAAGTCTCACCAACCTTCAACTCTTTCGTTCTTCACATTTCAAAACCAAAGGCTACATTTTTCACCGGACTCGGGTTGAGAGATCAAATGCGTATGCAGTATATCTGTATGCAGTATGCAATAGTAAAATGCACGGTGTGTGTTTATGGATTTTCCTCTCGTTCGACTTGGATGCAAACGCAGTCAGCGGCAATCAAGCGGACGCACTGCTGTGTAAATACAATAGTTGCTACTTGTGCCACCACGTGTGCAATTTAAATGGAATTAACGAATTACGATATTCATCTGAACTTCTCCTTATAGAAGATCGAGAGGAGGGACACTTAATCTGATAGTTCGGGATATCCGAGTAGGAGCACACTTGGGCATCCATGCGTTTCTTCGGATCGTCCACTCCTCTTACGCATTTAAAAATAATGCATCGACGCACTCTTGGGGCTGCACTTCGCGAAAGATTCATCGAGGCGTTAGGGTGCCTGGAGCATGCCCCAAGGGACGTTGCGAAATTCGAAAGGACCGAGTCAAGGGATGCTGCATGAGTTCTCGAGTGTCTCCCATCCTCTCTTCTTTTTGATAACTTAGAGCTGCGAAAGTGAATCTTGAGGCGATGTAATGAGAAGAGAGAGAGAGAGAGAGAGAGAGAGATTGCATCCTTCGCGATCCTTCAAAATCGTCGAGTCGTTCAAGACGAGAGGGACTTTCAAGTAATGAGTGAAGGGGAACAGGCACTTGTAAAGCACTAGTCCAGTCATTTTCACCGTCCAGGATGAGAGAGGAGTCGCCAGGAAAAGTTTCCAGACTCTCGCATGCCTGGTGGCATCGATGGACCAGTGAACCAGGGAGCCGGCTGCTTAATCTTGGTGCTGCCTGCGATAGCCAATGGGGCGTTTGTCTCCAACAGAAACAACGGAAGAAGCGATAGATCGAAGCTTCTTTAAATCTTGAGCGTTCGAAGAATCCGAATTTTTAAGGTAATTAGGAGGAATCGCGGTGGCATCTCCCGGTGCGTCTCTCGGCGCGTATCTCGTGTCGTAGCACTTGGGCCAGAGAAACGAAGGCAGTTTGCGACACCGATGGAAATAGACTGAATGCTTCGTAGTCCTCGCGAAGCGAGAGACACGCTTGCCAACGTTCCGTAACTGTTATGAGTAGCTATAATAACAGTGACTGCTCGAAGGAGCTCTCTCATTAATGGAATGGCAACCATGAATCGTCAGGCGAGACGCCTGAACGAAGTCTCGCGGGAGGCGAGCCTCCATTCTCAAGGAGCGAACGTAACTGAAATCTATGGGGCAGCCGCGAGTCGTCGGAACTTGATTGAAGTTCAACGTTAACGTGCGCAAGGGTGGCGATCGTTCGAGTTCCTCCTCCGTTCGCCGGGCTACTTACTGTTAGACGCGCTGCTATTGCTGCAGCTCCAGTCTTACTTTTGGGACTCTAATAAAGTATTTGCGTGGGAACGGAAAGACACTGCGCAACCAAGACGCTGGCGTCGGCGCACGACAATTGGCTCTTTTCGGCGAGCAGTCGAGAAGAAGGGAGGGGCACGGCGAGGGTGTGATGACGGGAGAGATGCCGTGACGCTGATCGTGAGTGCGTCTAAAAATAGGGGGACACTTTGGCACGGTACGCTGCCCTCAAGAGTTTAGCGCTTGTTTACATCGATAAAGCTGTTGCGAGACTCGCAAGACTCCCGAGTGCCATTTCGAGCCATTAGTGGCTTCCTACATCAGCCACGAAGCTTCCTTGCTTCCAACGCGCATTGATCTTACGAGGCTCATGCTCCATTCATCCGATTCATCCGATTCATTCGAGCCATCCGATCTCAGAGATACTCCTCCACAACTTTGCGACATCTCTGACTCTGCCGCTCGGAGATTGATGATTGAAAATTTCCCTGGCGAACATTGGAAACTTTTCGTGTTGGCACCTTGCCGTGAGACTGATTGCTCAAGTTATGCGCCGCGGCCGCGCTTCCTTACGCACGGAGTGTCTCTTAATGCCTCCTGGGGTGCCGCTGGTGCTGTCATTGAGACTCAACCCCTGCACCTTATTCTTATCAAGACGACACGTTCTTTCGCCTACTGCAGTTCGGTTAAACGGAAAAGTTCAAGGCAACCGTGAAGTTTCTGGTTCCTAATTTCTGATTCCCTAGAAGCGATAGCCTGCCTGAGATGCCATAGTTACGAGAGGACTTCGAAATTCAACGGCTGAGACTGCATCGTGCAAAGTACACGAATCCAATGTGCACCGCATTAGGCTCGCACTTACGGCAATGCAGACCTTGCTGGACATCTAGGGACTGCACCATGTATCTACGTTTTGAAATTTCACGTGACTCGAATCATTTAGAAATTTACGAGATCGGCCACATTTGGGAACGGATGCATCGAAATCCAATCGTGCGATATATCGTACTCTCTAATCTCCCATCCACATGGTAGGTGTACGCAGCCATCTACCGATTTATGTTCCAATGCCGAGGATCATCCGAAGTCTGGAGAAAAACAACTGATACGACGACCAAGAAGAGTAAGAAGAGCAAGAAGAGCAAGAAGAGCAAGAAGAGCAAGAAGAGCAAGAAGAGCAAGAAGAGCAAGACGAGCGCGAAGATTACGACGGTGCTCAGTGCGAGACGCTCGCAGTGATAAATAATCCCTTGTCGCCGATTTTGACAGGAACTTTTTCCAGCGAATGCGTAGACAAACCCATAAAAAAAAAGAAGAAGAAAGCATGTGCATCTTCTGCCTCCCTTCTGCTCCTTTTGTTTCTGGTCTTTTTTCTCTTTTTCCTCCTTCCTCCATCCTACTCCCTCGGTACCTCCCACCTTCCGAAAGCTTTCTCACCATCGCAAAGGACGCATTCTCGTATTGTTCGTGCGTAACGCGAAAATACACACCAGACGCGTTTCTTGCGATCCTCGGGTTAAAATGTTTAGTCTGACTTGGACGGGTAGACGCGTGTCTGTCCAGGAGGGCAGAGCGGGGGCAGGAGCGCCCCTCGGCGCAGACTCCAGTCTGTTCCGTGATTTCGATCCAAAACTGAGAATCCGAAAGAGCAGGAATCCTACCAGAGAGAATACCTTGGCAGCCAGCACGAGACCTCTCTTAAATCATTGTGGAAATTATGCGACGACGCGACACGTGATGTCATGATGACATGATGACATGATGACACGATGACAGGAATCCGCGACAGGAACATCTGTTCCATTGTCCATCTGCGACTCTCTCATCCAGTTGTCGTCTCTTTCGTGCCCACCATGCCTACCATACTTCCGATGCTTCTATGCCGCGTGTCTCTTGGTCCCTTTAATCGTCGGGGCTCATGGGGATGTAGTCTTTGTATCAGGCGAGCGACTGAAGGATCCTCCGCCTCCTGTTATTGCCAAGGGCTTCGAAACGATTACTTTACATCTAGGCGACGGTAAGGACACCGAGGGATGCATGGATCAATGGACAAGCGGAGCAGGACTATGACTCTGGAGAATTGACGCTCGCGACGCTCGTCGCGAACAGCCGGACGACATTCCGCGCTTATTAATATTGTCGTGTATCTTTCAGCCAGTGGTTCTCAGGAGGTGGATAGAGATCTCTTCCGATTGGCTGATACGAAATGGACAACGCGTAGGTAGACGATGCACTGATAATGCGCCTTTTAAATATAATCTGTGATATCGTCGGAGACTGCCGAGAGAGAACCGGTGGGCAGTGCCAGCATAAATTGCAATATAGGCGCAATTGATTTCAGGGAAAATTGAAAAAATTCACTCTATTTCTGTCGACGGTCAAACCCTAGCCACAAATATCTTTAACAAGATTTATCTAGCCAGACGATCAAGTCGATCACACCTAGATCCCACCTAGATCCCACCTAGATCCCATCTAGATCCCACCTAGATCCCACCTAGATCCGCGCCTTAATATGTCAACGTCAGGCGGAGAGCAGTGTGCGTAATGAGTTACACGCAATACGACGCCCACGCGACGCCTGGCGTCGAGCGTCGAGCGTCGAGCGTCGAACGAGCTAAGCCGAAGCTGTCCTAGGGCAGCTCCGCTGCTCGGGATTGAGGCGTGCGTGCATGCCTCCGACGTCTTATATTTTCTCCCCTTAGAACGCGTGTTCGCGTCGCGCGAGACAATGTCGGACATGACGCATGTAGGTACCACTGACACATTATGTCGGACATGCCGTATATTATCTACGTTGCTGCGAACAATGAGATACTACACTTTGCTACACTGAGACAGCCGGCTGTGGACTCCTTTCGTCGAGAGCACCGAGAGAGCTCAGCGAATCCAGAACGCATATTTCGGTGCCCCTGCTGCTGCGCACGTCTCCCGTGGATCAGCATCATGTCAAGCAGAGCGTTGGGCTACATTCAGCTGACAGCCCCACGACATCATTTCAATGCCTGGATTCAACGAGACTCGCTACGAGTACTTCCGCCAGCACTTGCTGACCAGTTAATCGAGGAAATATTGACAGAGTTTTGAGAAAACAGAATATAAAGAAAGAGGAAACAAAAACATGTGAAATATAGATAGGTAATAGTAATATGAATATAGATAAGTAGAATAAACGAACCTGATTTAACGGTAAGTAAAGCAGGAAGCAGGAGAACAGTAATAACATTCTAAGTAATAGAGTAGGTTTAAAGGTAGTAGAGTCGAGCAGTCTTTACAATCACGCATACTATCGTCCGTTAAGGCCACATACATCCATCCATACGTCGCCATTAATCTTACAAGGAGGCAATAATAATCAGGCGGTATACGGTATCCGAGTACTGGAGGCAAACAACTAGACAACAGACTAGTTTGTGGAAAGTGAGTGAGAGAAAGAAAGAGAGAGAGGGAGGAACAATGTAAATCGCTGATCTGACCATTCAGCGAGCGACTGCCAATGTAGGAAAGGTCTGAGGCGATCCTCGTCTTAAAGGAGATG